ATATAGAGAGAGAGAGAGAGAGAGAGAGAGAGAGAGAGAGAGCCTTGTAAATTTTGTAAGTAACTAAATTTGATGGAAGAATAAGGTATTCTTGCTAAAATTTACACCTAGACAAAACTAACCCAGGAAAATTGGACTCAGACATAAAACACAAAGGAACATTCACAGTGGGAGAAGGAAGCTTGGTATGTACAAAAACTGATAGGTAAGTTGAAGTTTTACTAAAGAATTCAGAAGGAAGAGAGTTTATTCCAATGAAAAGGATTTTGTTAAAGTGCAAAAATAAATGTGGAAAAAATTAAAGTTTGTGCTCTATTCCATTATGTATGGAATGAAATTGGCTTAATGGAATTTGCTCTGGAAGAATGAAAATGATTATGTATATACGCTCCACATAATGTTAGTATGACTTTGGTAAATACATTTGAAACCATAAACATGGGTTCCGTTGGGTCCAAATCTTGGGATAACAATGTTCTTTACTTTGCTGCTGTGACTAAGGGCAGAGAGAGGGGAGGCTTCTGGAGGGGCTGGAGAGGGAGGGAGGCAGCATTCCAGCTGGAAGATCTTTGAAAAGAAGAATCATGTAAGGTGAGGGATGTGGGCACTTAGGACGAGGACAATTTCTTGACAGAATGCATTTAAGAACCAGAGACCTGGGTCTGGGCACATTTCCACTAGGGTCCACTGTTCGCTGCTATTTCTGTCTTTTCTGCCTATGCTGTGGGGACGCAAAGACTTCCTCATATATTGGTTGCAAATGAGGGCAAGTGCATTCTTTCAAAAGGAGAAGTGACAGCTGTGAGGAATGTGCCTCTCCCGACTTTCCCAAATTGGGAAGGAACCTTAGCTTCTCAAGAAGGAGGCTCTCAGCTCCCTGAGGTCAGCGCAGAACAAGTGGACAGGCCTGAGCAGCGACGCTTTGTGAGGGTTACTGTCTGTGGACAAAGGGCATTCAGAGATTTTTATTTATTCATAATGTCACCTTTACAATCAGCCCTCATTTCTCATTCACATTTAATCTTCAAAAGAGCATTTAAAAATCTCTTATTGATATTACAATTAAAGTTCATAGGCTGGATTTTTGTATGGGATCAAAATATGTCCAAATATGGAAAATTTAAAAACTGTAAGTCTGCAACATTGGTTTCTAGTAGCATTATACATTGCTTGAAAATATATTTAATTTTATGCTCAAGTTAATAAGTTTTTGTATATAGTATCTATTTCAACTTAAAAATTTGAATTTAAAAACTTTATTAAGAATGTTAAACAATCAAAGTATAATGTATAAAAAGCTTTACAGAAATAAGAAATACACCTCTTTGAATAAGCTATGTACACAATATGCTACCTTTAAAAGATATCCATTAATTAATTAATTCATTCAAGAATTTGCCCAAATGCCCACTGTGTACAAGGCCCTGAAGCAGGTGCTGGGGATATGAATAAGGCACATTAAATCCAGCGCAACCCTGCCCTTTGGGGGCTTACAGACTAGTGGAGCTTTTCAAGATATCGCCTAACAAGTGAACCAGAAGTGATGTCTAATGTAAAGAGGAGCGAATACTTTTTGCCTTGAGTGTTAGTATAGTTGTCTTGGCAAAAGCTTCTTTCTTTTCATAATACGCGGCCTCATTTACAAACGTCGGGTACACAGTACAGTCTCCACCTAATGGAATTGTCTCTCCATCAAGAGTTAAAAACACAGGATCCTCAGGGCGCAGTGGTTTCCAGTCTTGATCCTCTCAGGAAACAAAATACATAAATTACATTCGGTTTCTCTCCTACTTTAAACATTTTTGTGTGAGGCTGTAGACAACTGAAACATTTAGCACTGGATTCTGTCAAAAGAGATACAAACCTCCTACACTCTGCCAAGAGCCCCCCCCCCCCCTTTTCACTATGCTGTTATTGATCAAACCAGACAAGCAGCAGATACTGGGGACCTGAGGAGAGTCAGGAAATGGCAGAAAACATTCCAAAGAAAGAGGCTTTGATTGTTGTGCTCTAACTGACTCAGCGGTGGTCACAGGGAGGTGGCAGCAGTGTGGTGAACTGCAGAGAACATTAGCTCTGGATCTGCCAGTGATAGCTCGATGGCTGTGGGAAAGATCTGCTTTCTTATGCTAAAATGAATATAATCATTCCTACCCACTTGGCAGGAATCTTACCTTCTTTGACAGCTCTTGTCTGACCACCCCTCCCTGCCGCATTATTCTCTTAGAGCCTCTGGTTTTCTTTATTTTAACCTACACTTTAGACTTTAGTCTATCTAGACCAGTGGTTCTCAACCTTCTGGCCCTTTAAATACAGTTCCTCATGTTGTGACCCAACCATAAAATTATTTTCGTTGCTGGGTGTCAAGAGAGCAGAGCGCCTGAAGAGTGGCTCCTCTGTGGATAACACATCCAAAAGCCACTTGGGCTTACTCTTTACAGGTGGCAGGGTACTATGGCCTTCCTGTAACATTATGCCCCATACTTAAAAAAAAAAATTATTTTCGTTGCTACTTCATAACTGTAATGTTGCTACTGTTATGAATCGTAATGTAAATATCTGATATGCAGGATGGTCTTAGGCGACCCCTGTGAAAGGGTCGTTCGACCGCCAAAGGGGTCGCGACCCACAGGTTGAGAACCACTGATCTAGACTGTGACTTCCACAAGAATATACTAGTAGACCATGTTCAATGATGTATCCTACAGCCAGCACAGGATGCACTCAGTAAATATTTATCACATGAAGGTATGCACACCTTGCTTACACTGCAGTGTGTTTGAGATTACAACAAATGAGCCAACATATGTAAGATCCTTTATGAACTATAAAACTACTCACTGGGGGCGGGGGGCTCATATTTTGAAAATCTTAAAGAAACAGCAAATGTTACCTGCAGATTAGGGTGGATAATAGCAGCAATTTCTCCATTTTCATTCCTGGGATAATCAACTTTCTCCATTATTTTATAGACTTCAATAGCACAAGGGGGAAATTCTTTCCCTAAGGCAAAAACAAAATGTATAAAATGGCAACTGAAAAAAGGAAGTTCATACTTTAAGGGAAGAACAATAACCAAAAAGTGAAGACATACAGTTGCAGATTGAATGTCAAATGTAATTGGAAAAAAAAAAGAAGACAGTCACAGGGAGCACACACGATGTCAGTTGAGGATGTTCATAAATAACATGAAGCCAAAAGATGTTCTCAAATTATTCCTATCAACACACGCTCACAAGTACATTGCTGGACAGCGGAAGAAAACACCTTAAAAAGCCCGTGTGAGAGAAAGAGCCTGGGGCAGGGAGTCAGGACTCCAGGGCTCTAATCTCCTCACTGTGTAACCCCGAGCAAGAGGCTTAACTTCTGGAGGCTCATGTTCTTTACCTGTCAAAGGAAGGTTTGAATCAGCTGGTCTTGGAGCTGCTGTCCAGCTCTGACATTCTATGCCTGCATATGCTCAGGAGACTTCTAGCAGGTTAGGTGACTTCAGCATCATGCTCCTTCTCTTAACTAAGTACATTAACCACTGGACAGATCTTGGGATGCAGGCAGTCTGCCACCAGTGGAGTCCAACTTCCAAAGATGTAGCAACATGAAGCAACCCAATGCCCAGAAACTTGAAAAAGGAGTAGTTTACATGCACCAGGCAATCTCTGAGCAAACAGGATGAACTTCCATCAAATGTAGAGCCCACAGTGAGCTATGGTTGCAACTCAAAGGAAAATCTTCCTCTGCCCTTAGAGCAGAAAGTACAGCCAGGGTTGGGAGGTGGATATCCTGTGGTCACTTCTGTATCAGTTAGATTTGGCTGCTTAACACACTATCCCAAAACTTCGTGGCGTAGAACCATGATCCTTTAATTTATCTCATGATTCTGTGGGTTGGTTGGGCAGCTCCTCTGGTTTAGGCAGGCTGGGCTGATTTCTAATTGGCTTGCTCATGCATTTGTGGTGAGCTGGCAGATCAGCTGGAGGCTAGGTGATCTAAGATGGCCTTACTCTCACATCTGGCATTTGACAGGCATCAGCTGGAGCTGCAGGACTATTGGCTGGGGTGTCAGAGTCATCTACTTCTCAGCTTCCCATTGTCCAGAAGCATAGGGCAGACTGATTCATATAATGACAGTGCGGGGTTCCCAAGGGCAGCAAGAGAGCAAGCCTCAAGGTGCAAGTCTTTTTCAAGCCTCTTCTGTGACACAAAATAAGTCACGTGGCCAAGCCAAATTCAGGGGGAAGAGAAATTGACTCCATCTCTTGGTAGAAAGATCTAAAACATCACATTGCAAGGACATGGATGCAGGGAAGGAAATAATTTGTGGCCATTTTTACAATCTACCAAACCTGTCAAGGTGAAGATGGAAACTTATCAGACGTCACCTTTTTAAACCAGAAGGTCCATTGGGAGGAAAGGAAAAAGAGGTAGGATACAAAGGAGTATGTTTGTTGCTACTTAGAATCTCAGAGTTAGAAGGAGCCTCGAATGCCTGACTTCATCGATGCTCGGGTATTCTCCATATCTTTCTGGCCAAGTGTAGTCCATTCCACTGTTGGTCAGCTTTGTTAATTGGAAATTTCTGTCTCCAGTTAACTTGATCCCACTGATTCTATTCTTCCCTCTGAGTCACAGAAAACATGTCTAACGGCTCTCCAATATAACACTTCTGAAGCTCTAAAATAAAATCACCCTTAAGCCTTCTTTCGGCCAGTCTCAGCATTCTGAGTTCTATCAATCACCACTCATATGTGGCAGGTCCATGAGAATATATGTGAAGGTACTTTGTAAACTGAAGTTCTATGTGCATCTGAGGGATTACTTTTATCATGGTTTTCAAACTCTTCAACATTCTCAACTTTCTCCTTGGCTAACCTCTACTTTATAGACATTCCTCCTGAAATATGGACTCAAAATTTATCCACAATTCTCCAGGTGCTGTTTATCCAAGGCAAAAAAGAGACCATCACTGCCCTCATCCTGGGATTTAAAAAAACAACAATGTAAAAGCAAAATTTTGTTCCTGATGTATTTAACCTAAAACATCTGGTTTAGACAATTGTTAAAGATTGTCAGGACTTTTTGGTTCCACCTTCTGAATGGATATTTTCTTGCAGGCTTCCTGCCACCTATCACTTATATAAAGGCATGTCTCATCCAAGTCACCGATAATAATGTTGAGTAGCACAGAGCCAAGGATGGAGCTCTTCTGCACATTTCCAGAGAGTTTTCTCCAGGTGGTTATGATCAGCATTCTTTGGATAATGGCGCTCTTCCCACGTTAGGTAAAAATCCACCAAGATGGATAGTCTAAATTAATAGTGGCTTAAAATGTTCGAATCACAGAATCCTTTGCTTAAAAGAAATGTTACAGGGTAAGAGCAAAAGAACAGATAGAAGAACTGCTCTGGTTAAAGGGCAGGGGTTTGGCTGTCATGGAGCTACTAGGACAACTACTAGATCCTACCCCTCTGATAGGAATCTATGGACTATGATTTGAAAACCATGTTTTTCCACTCAGGTTTCTGGCCTTCTACTCAGGGCATCACTTCTTAGCATACCATATCCCATACTTACTATTTGAAGGTGTGAATAGGTGGTGACCTTCCCAATACGAGGCCCATTAGACCTTATAGAACGTGTCCTCAGACAAAGGTGGGTGACAAGCTGATTTTCAGTCTTTATGACTTTGGAGTCAAAGGATTCCCAACCACAGAAAAATATGCCAGTGATTGCAGTAAGGTGCACAGTCTGAACTTAAGGAATTATATTCCCCACAGACACTGAACTATTCACCAGCTTTGTCACTGTAATGACCCATTCCTCAACAACAATTTGAATTCAACCTGTTGGAATAATTATTTACATAGGATGTCTTTTTAATTTTATTTATATTATTATTTAAAAAAATTTAAAGTAAACTTATTCTAAAAAATAATTAATAGACTACTTGTTTTTGCTTTAGTTTTAGATTTACTGAATATATGAATAGATAGTACATAAAATTTCACGTATCTACCAATTAAATTATTTCTTTTTTATATTTTTTAATTGATTTGAGAGAGGAAAGGAGAGAAAGAGAGAGATAGAAACATCAATGATGACAGAGAATCATTGATAGGCTGCCTCCTGCGCACCCCACACTGGGCATCAAGCCCACAACCTCAGCATGTGCCCTGATCGGGAATCGAACCGTGACCTCCTGGTTCATAGGTCGACGCTTAACCACTGAGCCACACCAGCTGGTCTTATTTCTTAATTACAACACATAATTCTTCTTGGAAACAATTAAAACAATTTTAACTTGTTTTTCCTCCTCCTCCTCTCCTCAATAATCACAGTTTGGTGTGTTTTCTTTAAGGACTTTCCCTGAACATTAACATATATATGTATACATATTCTAGCAAGGTTTATTATTATTTTGGGGAAATTGGTATACTGCATGTTTTGGTCTGCAACTCGCTTTCTTTAATTAACAATGTATTTTGAAGCTCCTTCCATGGTAGTGTGACTGTTTACCAACTGATGGATACTCAGGTTGTTTCTATTGTTTTGTTGGCACAAGCAATGCTATGGAAGCCACCCTTGTAGATGACATATTGGGTGTGCATGTGTTTGTGTTTCTTTGAGATGTGGAGTTGCTGCATCATAGGATTTGTGCATTTTCAAAAGTGGATACTGTAAAATTATTCTTTAGCATGTCTTTCCCATCCCCCTTTTCCTACACCCTTACCAACACAATATTACCAGGTTTTAATATTTTCCTCCTCTAATGGGAGAAAATGCTTTCTCATTTTAATTTGCATTTCTCTAATTACTAGTAATATTGGACGTCTGTTCATATGCTTTTTGGACATTTGTATTTCTTAGTATATCGTTGTTTTTTTAAAATGGGGTTAATAGGAAAATTAGGAGAGCTTTAATTGGTAGTGGCTTTTCTTGAATGTGTCTATTCTGGTCATTGAGGAATGGCTGAAGTGAATAAACTTTTAAAAGACACCTAATATGCTGAGCATGGCAAACCTGACGTAGGCTATAATTGCTATTTCAGTGTTTAGTGGTGAAGTTAGCATGTGTGCTCATCCCATTTCCCATTTCTAATATATATATTTTTTATTGATTTCATAGATTAAGGAAAGGGAGAGAGAGAGATAGAAACATCAATGATGAGAGAGAATCATTAATTGGCTGCCTCCTGCACACCCCCTACTGGGGATCGAGCCCACAACCAGGGCATATGCCCCTGACTGGAATTGAACCTGGGACCTTTCAGTCAGCAGGCTGACGCTCTATCCATTGAGCCAAATTGGCTAGGGCCCATCTCCCTTTTCTGATATATTTACACACACACACACACACACACACACACACACACACACACACACAC